ACAAAAGAGTCAAAACAGGTTTCACCTCGCTAAGCCAACCCCAAGACCCAACAACATGCACACAGGGAATTTTAAGTCTAATTATTAATCTATTGATCCTCAACTACTACAAACTTTTAAAACAATTCTTTTAGCATGTCATACTACACTGTATCTTCTGTATACTCATTTCTTTTTTAAAGAGAAAATGACTTGGAACAATGAGGGGGATTTAGGGGAAAAAAAAAAAAGGTAAGGATAAAGCAGATGATGGATTTCAACTGGTTGTCAATTGTTGTCTCCCTCTACTCACATCTGGTTTCTTAAACACCTGAAGGTTCAGGAAAACACATGTAATGAGAGTGGCCCTAAGTGTAGGGGGGAAATTTTCAGTACTACACCACTTTCAATGCAACACATTTTAGTAATAAAAGACACCTTTGACGGTACATCCATCTCAATTTAAAGATAGTGTGGAAAACCTTCAAGGACCCGTTGTATAACAAAAACAAATCTTTAAATTGTGATATGTACAAACCAAATGTTTAGAAATATCAAGCTGGTGCTTGACATTTCAACTAGAAAAATTTACGTCTAGCCAAAATTTGATTAATTTTCATGCTTTTGATATGGCAGTTGGCAACATGGTACACAGACCTAGTCCAGTCTTTACTTCTCCCATCACGAAACAGTTTTTACTCATTAAAAATTTAATATTGACTACTTAAGCGTAAGACTCTGTCATACGTCACTTTTCAAAATGACATGGCAGTCTTACACCAAGCAGTCAATATGTTCTAATTTATCACTTTTTCAACAAAGGTGTGACTGCTCCAAAAACTTTGTATAGTCGTGGCTCAGGAACAGGCTCACATCTGGGTTAAGTTAAGTACAGCCCTGTGTCCTGTCAGCTGATCTAATTGTATGCTGGTGAGAAGCACAGCTGTCACCTCTTCGCTCAGCAGACAAGAGGGTTCAGAGTGCGCAGTTATCTTCAAATGCCTTTTGTGTCAAACAAAAAACTTGTTGATATTATATAATTGAAATCAATGAAAAACAAACTGAGGCTAGATTGATTATTATTTGTTCTAAATCCGTATTAGACTTGCATTCTAAAATCTGTTAAGCTATCTCTGTGACTTCTTTTAAGATTCATTTATTCATTCAATCTGCCATCCAGTATTTGTGTGAGTGTGTGTGTGTGTGTGTGTGTGTGTTTGTGCGTGTGTGTTTGTGTGTGTGAGCATGTAGGTATAATGTATGTGTGTGTAAATTGCATTTTGATTCAGGAAGATAGACATAAATGAGTGTGGATATGAGTATGAACGGATATTTTGTTACCATGAGTTTCAAGATCCCAATCAGTGTCCGCATCTATACCAAAAGAAGGGCAAAAGAACAAAAGGGACCTAATATAGCAAGCATAAAGGCGACTGTAGAGAGATGTTTTGACCTGAGCAACTCTACAACAAAAGGGCACAACACTACAGTCCAAACACTGGAGCACAGGGTGTGTGCATGGGTGTGTGCATATGTCAGTAGGGTGCGTTTGTGTATATTAGTATGTACATGCCAATGTTTTTATGTATACAAGTGTCTGTGTGAGTGTGTGCATATTAGTGTATGTGTGTGTGTGTGTGTGTGTGTGTGTATGTGTGTGCGCATGTGAAATCACTTGCAGCGTATTGAGTGCAGGAATTCTTTACAAATTAACATATGACAACACAAATCTTCAAAAGACAAGGAAAAATCAACATGTTAATAACTGGTCAACTAAATAAAAAGTGTTTATTACATCAGGCAGAATCAGGTCTGAGTCTGTCTCTTCACTTCACACATTGATATGTGAATTTAGCAATCCATTTCAGTGCTGCATTCATTTTCGCTCTAGAGACAACATTAATTTCTTCAGTCTTTGAAGTTCAGCCTTATGTTCCAAGATCAAACATTACAAAAAATATTTCAGTCTGACCAAATTTGCACCTATATCGCTGAAACAATCTTTCTTTACGTCTTTCTTGACCGCCACGAATAGATAAATCTTTAGAATATCATGCCAACTTACCTCCTCCTTCGTCTGGCTCATGAGGTTCCCACCCTGAGTGAAGAAATACATACGGTCCCACTTGGTAGAAAGCAGGACTTGTTTCCTGAAACAGCAAAACATCAACTCTTGTGAAATCTTTCTTCATAAAGCAGCATCGGTAGTATAGTGGTAAGGCTACCGGATTCATAATTGTGAGGTTGGGGGTTCGGGGGTTTGAGCCTCAGGTCCGACGTTATATCCTTGTGAAAGGCATTTTACACAAATTTTCCTTGCTTCACCCTGGTGGGACTGAGTACCCGGCCATAGACGGCGAAAGATCTGGTCGGTATGTTAGGGTTTCAGCGCCTATAAAATGGCACCTTGCATTGTTCGCTTCCCATGAAGTTGATATTATTTCAGAATGCTATCAGCTCTGCTGGGTAATAATGTAGATTGTAAAGTGCACAGAACTTGCTGTTGAGCAGTAAGTTGAGTTATACAAATGTTTTCTTTTTAGTTTTAGTAAGAGTTTTACGGAACTTGCAACACAATAAGGTCATATAAGTGCCAAAGATTAGAGGTGTTGCAAGAGAGTAACAAACACAAAAAAGGAGGAGGGTAGATAGAGGCATTAGATTTTTTATAGGAAAGAAGGAGCAAACCACGCCACAGCACCCGCCAACCACCCATCAAATGTTTTCTGTTATCATTGTAATTTTTAAAAATATAAATAATAATAATAATAATAATTATTATTATTATATCAGTAGGCAATAGGCACTGTTCAGTGATGACAGACGGTGGCGTTTGTGCTCTTTCAGCACATTAAAAAAAATATCCTGTGTTGAAGGAGCTGTAGTTAATCAAATTAAGCCAGTCGGTAAGAAACAGTGTTGTTTGCTGTGAGAACAATGAAATGAATAATGATAAACTATCAGGAAGGCAACGAAATCCAACTTTTTATATGTTTGTTTTAATATGAGTTTTATAGCACTTGCAACACAATTAGGTCATATAAATGCGGAAGATTAGGGGTATTATAAGAGAGAAACAAACACAAAAAAGAACGAGGAGAGATCAGGACAATAGATGCTAGTTAAGAAAGAAAGAGTAAACTACACAAGAGCATCCATCAACCACCAACTCAACCTTTTAAAACAAATGGAATGGGCATATATTCTTGAGATATTAAGAAAGGAAGATTTTGTGCAAGTCAAAAGGAAGAGAAACTGGGTCAAGGCAGAAATGAAAAAGCTAAGGCTAAAAATTTTTTTACAGAACAAACAACTTCACCTGCTCAAAGTCAGTAACAGCCCTTAAATCACATAGCAATCTCAAACTGAAGATACTATATAAGTAGCTCTCCATAATGATCAAAATCAAATTTTAAAAAAATCCTGTGCTCAGATTGAAACCACTAATTACCATCTCTTCATAGCATCACATAAAAACAAGAAGACCAAAATATAGAGACACTAGTCTTTGCGCATAGAGCTAGCATTACAATTAACTATTCATTCATAATATCATCAGTTTCAAAAGTACAGAAATCCAGGTTCAGGCAAACTGAGAATTTTCAACGTTTTGGCAAAGCATATCAATGAAATCTCAGCAAAAAGTACACGAAATCTAACTTCTGCTTTAGTTTTAGTAAGTGTTTTACGGCTCTTGCAACACAATAAGGTCATATAAGTGCCGAAGATTAGAGGAGTTACAAGAGAGTAACAAACTTAAAAAAAAGAAGGAGGGGAGATCAGGACGAAAGAGGCTTGATAGGAAACAGTGCTTCCACCAGCTGAAGCTGAAAAGTAAGGAAAATTCTGCCAGGGGTCCCGGTGGGGGTTCAGGGGCCGAAGACAGACAGACGGAATGAGTGAATGATAGAAAGGAGGAAATTGGCACAAAAAGTTCGCCAGATTTTTATCAATCCACAGGTTAAAATGTACTGCCGACAAGCCCGAAATGAATGCATGGGGCATAGTGGAATAATGGCCAATTGCAGGAAATGCGCAATCAGGCAGGTTTCTATAACATTAACTTATTGCCGAGAGAATTACCGTAAATATCCGTAACTTATACTAGTACTAGACGATACGAAGTCGAGTACGGATCTTTTGCTACGGAATTTCGGTAGTCCTACGCTGTCGCAGCTTTTTACGGAAGGAGTTGAGAATGATGAAGGAACAAGTACGTAACTGGCAGAAAGTACGGATTTCTGTAAAAATACGGAAGAGTGGAAGCACTGAGGAAAGAAGGAGCAAACCACACCAGAGCATCCGCCAACCACCCACAATCTGATTTCAGCATTCATTGTGATTGAAATTTACGAAAATACAACTGTTGCTTCTAGTGTTTTATTTCAAAGTGTTTGGGTAAAACTGCACAAATGCAAGAAGCTGTTGGATTAACAAAAAAACCCCAAAGTAAACAACATTGATAGTCGAAACAAGAAGTACAGTTGAAATTGTCTATGACAGCCACAAATTGTCAAGGAAACAAAGGATTTGTCTTATGCAAGTGGACATATTAGACAGTGTCATAATAATATAAAAAAACAGCAGTGGAGAAGGAGGTTGAAGCAGTCATTCGTCCAGGTAACTAACTTAGACAGGGGGGCTGGGCCGCTAGAGCTGGATCAACAGTACTTCTAGTCAGAACTATGCTCTAAAGAAAAGCATCTCACCCTCGACAGAACAGGTATCCAGCCTTCTGTGTCAGATTGGTGTTGGGCGGTATAAACGGCATGTCCACAGGGGGCTCAGCGTGGTACATGTGCTGGCTTTGCTTCTCTATAGAGTCGATCAGTTCCACTGTGCGCTGAGTCTCCTTGGCCAGGTCAGAGTGAACCCTGGGGGCACAGGCGATGAACAAGTTAGCTTTGCTTCATGGTTTAGTAAGACTTTTACGGAACTTGAAACACAATTAGGTTGTATAAGTTTTGAAGATTTGAGTTGTTACAAGAGAGTAACAAACACAAAAAAGGGGAGATAAGGACGATATATATTTGATAGAAAAGAAGGGATTTATTTCACATCCCTTTTAACAAAGTTCAGATTGTTTAGGAGGTTGCCTTTTTTCACCCTGCTTGAGTTCTCACTCATTCCCTCCCCACTCAACACAATAAATATAAGGTCGTGCCTAGGGCATACATATGAAACGAAGTATATGTAAGAGTGACTATGGCTTTTAATGATCTCCTACACCTCTCGAAATGTTTAAAGAAGGAATAGCACACCTGCAGCACTCTGAAAATTTAACTTTCTTCCCTACCATATACCATATTTACCAATTACCATATTTCAACAATGATAGGAAAACCCCCCCCAAAAAATAAGGAAAAAAAAGACCCAGAGTACTTTTGATGCGATGGGGAGAAGAAATAATACTGAATAAAAACCTACGATTGCACACTGCTGCCGATATCACCAAGGAAGTCCTCAAGGTCAGAGCGCAGGACGATGTCTTGGCCCATCTGGAAACAGGCCCGCTGAGCATGCAGGTAGCCCATGACAGGCTCCAGCAGGAAGCACTTGCGTTTGTACTGCAGGGCATTCAGAGCCGAGTAGTAGTGGAGAGTCGTCTAGGGAAAGGAAGAACATATTCCAGTCAGCCACACAATTACTCTTGGCCAGGTCCATGTCATGATTTTGGAGAGGTACGGCAGCAGAAAATAACCACAAAAGAAATGATGATTCAGAAATGCCATATCCCTTCACTATAGAGAATGGGAAAGCCTCACCCCCCTCCCCCCCCCCTCCAGCCCTCACCACTTTAATCTGTCAAAAAGAACAATATCTTAAAATTTACCACAAGGAAGGACCTCAAACAAGACCTCACACTGAATGTTTAAAAGAATTTAAATCATACTTTCAACACAGTTTAAAAAAAAATTAAACAACACAATCCTCTTTTTTTTTCGTTTTCAGAACTCAACTAAACAATCAAACTTTGAATGGCATTAACAGGACACAGAGAGCTGTCTCTTTCTCAAAATCAAATTCTGAAATTGTAACTGATCGCTCATGGATGAATAATTTCCTTCTTGTATACCTGATGGAACTTTTTCCTGTTTCCCTGCAGCTCCTCATTGACCTCTACCCTCGACTTGTCATCTTTCTTCATGGGCTGTTTCATGTACTTGGCCAAACTTTGCTCGTGATCTGCACACAGTAGACAAAGGAAACTTAGAAAAGTCTGGTTCTTTTTTCTTGTCATTATTAAAATTCAACTTAAGTCTAACACAGCAACCAAAGGGAATTCACGGAAATTCAACTTGAGTCAATAGTAAAAGAGTTGATGAGTGGATGGGAAAAGCATATATTTGGCCAAAATAGTGCCACACCAAGTCAATATACAATCACGCCAATAAGTGATAAACGAAAAGCCAAAATGAGAAAAAAGGCAAAAGTTGTGAATAAGAATACCAGCTTTGAGCAAACTTGTGATGGCATAAGTGAAGCTGAAAAAAAGCCAATGAATAATTATGCAATAATTAAGGTTGCTTTTCAAATGTGTGCCAAGTCACGAAAAGTGAAAAGGCACAAAGACAGAGATGGTCATTCAAGAAACAAAATACTCCCTCTGCAGTCCACTACAATTAGAAAGGAAACCCTTCCATGGGGAAAACACAGTTTTTTCCCAGTTACAGCCCAACTTGTCAGTTAGGTCCTGATCAATATCCTCCCAAACATGTGCGTTTATACCATGCAGTTTTGTTGAATGAATGCACTTGGAAACCCACACATCTGCAACAATATCAGCTTTCTGAAACCTGTCTCACTTCACGGGTCATGAACGTAGGTAGTTCTAGTGGGTAAAGTTCAGACGTGCGGAGAGACAAGGAAAATATTAGGCCTATTCCTTTGCAAACAAAGTGTTGCCAAGAGAATAGTTGCAACCCTTGGGTCTTCTAGGAATATAATTTTAACTCTAGCATTTTGCCAATAAAAAGCAGAATTCTTTACTTCTTATGACTGATACAGATGTGCTTATCTAATCCAGACCAATTATGAGTCATAAAAACATGACACGTTACAAATGTCTGTGCCAAGGTTATGTCAAAAAAAAAAAAGAAAAAAGAAATTAACAACGGTATCCTGGTGCTTTAATTTAACAAAAAAATTAATCATTTAATTTTTACGACTGTTCTGCTGACATATAAAAAAAAGAAGCAAAACAAAACTGACTTTAATGAAAGTTGGTTTTTGGTGAAAACAAAGACTTACCATTCGTAGCTGATTGGAACATTTGGTTCATTGTGCTTATCTCTGGGGACAAATTAAAAAAAACATTTTATTTGTTCATGTTTTACTACTGTGTCTGTGAAATACACAAGCCAACTTTCAAACACTGCATATAGTATTACAATACGACCTAAACTTTTACAAATCTATCCACTGACAAATAGAACTCAACCAAAGATATCCCCAGTGCATTTACACAGCACCTCTGTCAAAATAGCATAGCATATCATTACATTGTGGGAAGAAAAAAATCCTTCATATTATATTATATTTAAATACTTTTGACAAAAAGTAATCTACATTAATATGTTTTATTTTTTCCTATTTTCAGCTATTTGCACACATCAAACCATGATCTGAAACTTTAAAATATTTTCATGGTCCAAAAATGCACTAAGACATGTTGAAAAATAGTAGACTATCAAATGCAAATTTTACATACCCTCAATGTCGGCCTGCAAAAATTTGTTAAGTGGATACATCATCGTCTCCGAGAACTGTTGTGCCAAGACTTGTTGCACTGAACTAATCTGTAGAGTGGATTCAGAAAAAAAAATGTGGGAGGCAGGAAAAAAAGTATGTCTGCATAAAAAACAATAGTACCGTTAGATGAAAAAGGCCTAACAATTTGTTTTGTCAAACAGGGATCAAAGAAATCCTTTAATAATTTTACTGACGACGATAAAATAAATCCTTTTAAAGGTTATTACAACATCATAAATTTTATCACCATTGAGACAGAAAAATCTAAATGATGAAAACTAAAGCCACTCCCAAGCCAGTTGTCGCTATCCGATCCATCAAAACACACAAACATCTAATCTCTCCCTCACACACGTTCAGACACACACGTGCAGTTAACCACATACACATGATTCCCCCTAAAAAGCTTCTTACATCATCCAAGTAAGTAGAAAACTGCTTCAGAGTTGAGGTGAGCACACTGTCCTCAGACTCCAGAGGAAATTTCTGTTGACGAAAAAAGAAAACATCAAACTAAGAAAAACCAGAAAATTGGAATGCTCTAAAGAAAAAAACAAAACAAAAAGGAAAACAAAAACAAAACAACAACAACAAAATAGCTACAATGCGGCAGTGAGCATGTCCACTTGACAACAAAATAATATTTAGAGAAACAGTGAGACAGATAAGACAGAAACAGCAGTGGGACATTACAGAACATCCTTACAGAAGGTTAAAATAAGTGTGCCACATAAGACCCATCATGTAAACCTGCAGAGGTGCCAGCTGGCCATGATAAAAAAATCCTGAACATTTTGGGCTCCTTGGAAACATGTAGAAGGGACTTCAAAATTTATAGGTCATATTGTCTGATGCATCTCTTGTATCAAGACTTATTTATTTTACGTGATATGCAAAATGCAGACTATTTCAGAAATCCCATACTTTTCTGATTCACCAAGAAAATTGGCACCCCTGAAACCGGCATTTACACACAGTGTAGAAACTTGTACCTCATCTGTTCCAACTGACATGTACAAAGCGGGCACCAAATGATTCCGTAGTTGCAGTAAACGTCACAAAGGTCACAATATCACTGTACAGATAATACAAATACATGTCATCGCTGGTCGTCTTAGTACAGCGCCTTGTTTTTCGGTTGGATTATCCTGCTTTGCCCAAGGACATACCTGAATGAAAACTCAACTGTAAGTTGTGTAATCAACTTTGCTTGAGAGTCTGAGCTAACTAACAACCCAAATGCAGTAGGAGGAAGTGGTATCTAAGGTAGCGCAGTATGAAAAGAAATGAAAAGCACAAAACGGTTCCGGAATAACGACGGTATAGCCCAGTTGCCTGAAAACACCAATGGAAGAATAATAAGCATTTATATTTTAGTTTTAGTAAGAGTTTTACAGCACTTGCAACACGAGTAAGTCATACAAGAGGTGAAGATTAGATGTGTTACAAGAGAGTAACAAAAAAGAGGAGGAGAGATAAAGACGATAGATGTTTGATAGGAAAGAAGGTGCAAACCACACCA